CTTTCTTTCTTTCTTTCTTTCTTTCTTTCTTTCTTTCTTTCTTTCTTTCTTTCTTCGGCTTCTCTCCTTGACAATGCCCTCTCTGTCTCCTGCAGGATCTCTCCCCGATTACGTCCCACCGGAGATCTTCTCTTTTGAGAGCTCCTCGGGGTTTGTGCTCTATGGGATGGTGTACAAGCCCCATGATTTACAACCTGGGAAGAAATACCCCACGGTGCTTTTCATCTACGGGGGGCCACAGGTGAGTCTCCGTCTTTGTATTTCAGCCACGTTATTTGGGGAGGGGGAGAATCAACGAAAGTTCTGCATTGAGTAGATCCGATTGCCTGGTGCCCAGAAGGGGCTCAGTTTGGGACTTGCAGGAATGGCCTGTATTTGCAAAATTAGTTTATGCCCCATAAAGGATTTGGTGTTTTAGAACTGAGAACTGTACTTAAAAGGGTAAATGGAAACCACTAGAGTACGGGCAGTCCTTCACTTACGACCATAATGGAGGCCAACATTTCCGTGGCTAAGCAGAGCAATTGTTCACTGAGTTTTGCTCCGTTTTATGACCTTCCTTGCCACCGTTGTTAAGTGAGCCACTGCAGTTGTTCAGTTAATGACACGGTTGTTAAGGACAAGCTTCCCTGTTGACTTTGCTTGTCAAGGTCGCTGAAACTGTCGTAAGTACATGCCAGTTGCAAGCCTCCAAATTTTAATCATGTGACTATGGGGATGCTGCCACGGTTGTTAAGTGTGAAAAATGGCCATATTTTTGAATGCCACGGTAACTTTGAATGGTCACTAAGTGAAAAGTTGTACCTCTTACAGGACTACCTGTAATAACAATCAAAATCATGATGATGGAGGCCATCATCTTATTTACTTAAGTTCTCTGGAACTAAATTTACAGATGCGACTTTGGACCCCGATGAAAATTAACAAAATCTATTCTTGATGTTAAGTCAAGCAGGTAGAGCTGTGTTTGGTTTATTTTTCACATAAATGAAAGAATAGGAATAGGAATAAGAATAGGAATAGAATACAGTGGAATGGAACGGAACAGAATAGAATAGAATAGAACACGGAATGGAATAGAAAAAGAAGGAAGGAGAATAGAAATAGGAATAGAATAGAATAGAATAGAATAGAATAGAATAGAATAG